TGAAAAAAGCTTATCAAACGACGATACTGTTTTGTAGTGCGACCCACATGACAAAAAACGGCGTAAGCAGGGAGTACGTTCTCAGGTACGCAAATCGAGGTATGGGCAATCTTCTGCTACTCCGGAGGTACTATCAACAGAGACAGCTTCCTAAAGTTGGATCAATCATTTTTATACCCTGACTTGGTTGGCCCACTGCTTGGGTCTTGTTCACAAATGCGAACAGCAAGGAGTTTGGTTTGGATGATCTCAATTAATGGCTTCCAAAGCTCGATAGCAACACGTGGTTGAATAAGCCAAGAGAGCATTACATGGGGATCCCCGAGGTTGTATAGTTAACGCCATTGCCCAGACCACGCAACGAAACACTGCAAGGTTTTCGAATAAACAAAATAAGTCTGATTTTTATTCAAATAGTTGGAGAACCAAATAAAGAGTGACGCTTTGGAAATTGCTTGAAAGTGGCATAAGCACAGTCTGTCACGCTTGAGCATCATGTCTTAACATCTACTGCCGGGTTAGCTGACTACACAGCTGAGGTGCTGTTTCTCTCTGAACGGTGTTGGGCGAGAGAATTTCTCTTACAGGAAGAGTATATGCTACGAATCACGAAGCCAAGTGAATATATATAGGAAGGTCTCCTTTAATCCTGTGATCAAAGTGAGCACAAATGATTATCCGAGCAGATATTTTAGTGAACATTTTATCGACTGACTGGCTGCAATTTAGAAGAACTAGACAATCTGGCCTCTACAATTTATAAGTTCTAAACAAACCGGTTCGGTCATATCTATTGCGTGCTTGGAAATCGGTTGCTTTAGGCTTAAAATATTCGTCAACAATGTGCTGAGTAAAACCTAGTGGTGGCTAGTAAATAACACAGTAAAAGAGTGTGTATAAATTCACAGAAAGGTTAAATAGTGCATGCGTTTGTTTTCTTGATTAGGTGTTCAGTGAAAATTCACAGCAACAAGAAGATATAGCATCGGATATGACCGAATCACCGGGTCAGTGGCGCCCTAACATTTGCTTCGTTGTCTACGACTTAATCCCTCTGTTTGATGGCTTTGTTCTCTGCGCATTCATACCTAGTTGGTACAATTATTATTAGTATTACTATTGTTACTAGTATATTTACAAAGTGAATCAATGTATTTCATCTGCCGATAATATCGTCTTGCTGGGGGACGACTCACAAACCTTCCAGCGCACTTTGGACCGCTTAGCAATGGAGGCGTCTAAGTACGGCTTGTGCTTCACTCCGGGAAAATGTAAAACGCTGCTCCAGGACTGGCAGATGCCTGAACCCGCGCTCACCATTGCTGGACATGTTCTGGAACAAGTCCCTCGCTTTACTTATCTAGGGAGTTGCATCACGGCTGGTGGCGGTGTTGGAGATGAAGTCTCACAACGGATTGGAAAGGCCCGCCTTGTATTCCTCAAACTGAGACATCTATGGCGCCGTCGTGATGTCAGTCTCAAGCTCAAGGGCAGAGTGTATAATGCTTCCATCCGTGCAGTACTCTTGTACGGCTGTGAGACTTGGCCTATTCACTAGGAAGACATGAAGCGGTTCTCAGCCTTCAACAATCGCTGTCTACGAAGGATTGCTCGGGTGTGGTGGCAACACCATGTAAGCAACGCAGAGGTGCGAGACCGAGTGTTTGGAGCGAGTAATGCCAGTCTTCATGACGTTATTCTCAGACATCGCATGCGTTGGCTCGGGCATATTTTGCGCATGCCAGTCCATCGGCTTCCACGTCGAGTGCTATTTGCACTCCCAGGGAGCGATTGGAAAATGTGTCGCGGTGGAAAGCCAATGACGTGGAGGAACATGGAGAAGGCAACCTCAATTTTGGCGGCAGCCGGACCAGTCCGTCTTCCAGGTTGGGGATCACGAGATGCTGAATCTCAGTGGTTGGAAAGATTGAATGTCATGGCGCGCAACAGACATCAGTGGGGTCAATGTTGTTCTGCCATTTTAGCCCCCCTTTAATACACACAAAGACTCATAAAACAAAAGTAAAAATGCGAAATGGCGTGTGTAAAACCAAAAAACGACCACTTTTTTAAATCGCAGTTCGTGTTTTTATCTTCTCCACTTTTCGTTTTCTGACATGGTTCTGATGGCACAATGTCTGTTAACAGACTGTGAATATATATATTTGCATCTGCCGCACACATCGGTGAGCCTCGTGGGGTATTACAAAGCCTCGATCACCCGTGGACACTGCACCATACAGAATAACTAATCAAATGTTGCGGATACAAGAGTGCAGCGCAAGCCGTACGGCAGAATGCACCGTAGACGTGACCACCGGGTATTGAAGCATTGACAAGCTGAAGCAGCTAGGTGTTGGCCACCAAAAAACACTGCACAACCACGACGCGATTCGATCTGATTTGATCCCGGACATCGAACACGGGACCGTTGGGATGTTAGACCAGACCTCTAGTCATTTAGCTACGGAGTCCCGACGAGCAACGCTTGGCACGACTGTGAATCGCTGATTGCGGGAATGAGGTTATTTTAAAGTACTCGTTGTCTGTGCATGGATTGTGACGCACAGACTCAATTTGGATGACGATTCGCACTGATGAAATGAACACTGGTCAATAAGCTCACTGAGACCGTATGTGATGATGCAGCTAAGCATTGGGTATTGCCTGCCTGAAAATACCGCACTCCACGATCGGTTACGAACTAAGCTGATCATCACCATTATCATCATCTTCATTAATACAGGTTAGCTAACGGTGAAAAGACACCTCAATACAAAGAAAACAAAATACTGAAACGTGCAGTAGAAAATTTCAGAAATCAAGTAAGATAATGTTAAATGGCATATTATCCACTTGCTATGAGGTCCCATTGGAGGAGGAGCATAAAGGAGTGGGGGTTGGACAAAGAGACGAACGCCATTGTGGTCGGCCCTTAATCATGTCAGAAAATGTGTCCAACCAGACTGAGACTGAGACTGTATTTAAGAGCAAGGAGAATGGTTTCTGTACAAATCTATCAAATTACGAAAAATCAAAAACATTTAGTTGCGAATCGTCAGCGGTAGTGTTTGGTCAGTTAATCTTTTTCGGTTAGGAATTCGTATTGGTGTCATTATTTCCGGGTATACGCATTGCATGTGGGTTAGGAAGGAATACGCGATGCGAACAAACCAGGACCCCATCGCCGCGGCAGGCGATCCAAACTCATCCGCCCTGATTGGGTCGGACAGAGAGCCAACCGGGAGAAGCGGCCAATTAACTCGACGGCGGCGTTCCTTTATTGGCTGTAAATTGATCCTACCAGAGCTTTTCACGTGCGCTTTAAATACCATTCACAAACTTTCCATTTCACCTTTATAATGAACGGTGGGATTAGCCAATACATCCCTGTTGCTCTGCTCATCCGATCCGGTCTTCCCTCTGGCCTGTGGGGGGCCAGCGACTTCGGGTTTGATTAGGAATCAAGCGTTTATTCAGGCAAGGGACGAACACTTCAATGTGCATCGTTTCATAAAAGCAGAGGTTCCCGAAATAATCGTTGATACGTGTTTTAAAATAATTCACTGAATCGGCCTCTATTAATCTTTCTGGTAGTGTATTCCATAAGTTTACGATTCTTCGTTCTATACAAAGCTGATGTGATACTTTGTTCATGTAGGGGACCCTGAGTTTGCAACGGTGTCCTCTGGTGTTACAGGGTTCCCGCAGGTGATATATTGGTCGCAGTATGAGGAAGTGATTCAAATGTAGTACTCGATGGGTCATACTAAAGCCAATTCTTATTCGGCGGTAGGATAATGTGTAGAGTCCGGGCCTTTCACAAAATTTTTCTTACAGAGACTTTCGTAGGCTCAGTATCCTTCTAGTTGCGATGTGCGGGTTCATCGTCCTTGGGACCCCAGCCAGGCAGTCGGGATGCACAAATCGACGCCAACTTCGAAGTGAGGGTCTTTATTTCTCTCAACCAAATTATCGCTTGGCTTTCCCTCCCTCTCTTCCATCCAGATGCCGGGCGCGCAGACAATGCAGTCGCAGGAGTCGGTGTGCTGGCATTCGTAACATGTAGCACAACCATTGTAGCCTGGTGCGTAATATAATGGTGCCAAGCGGTTCATTCCCTCTTCTTGCACCCAATATGCGACGCAGAACAAGCTCATTGCTCACGCGGCGCTCCCACTAGATATGAGCTAAGCTGCGAAGGCAGCAATGGTCGAAGTAAGTTGAACTCGTCATTGATTTTTTGTGATAAAAATTTGCATGAACAGCATTGCTGACTTCCAGTGGAACCACCGATGGGTTCTCGCGTTACACACTCGGTGGGAAGAAAAACGCCCGACAGGAAACTTGTAAACAGATAGCAGTTAAAATAGGATGTAACCAAATGGAGCCACGATCGTAAAAGCAAGTACTGTCAAAGACTTAAAATAATGGCGAGTAACAGAACTCATCTTGGTAATTTAAAATGAGCCTCGAAAGACACAAATGAGCTATAAATTTCCGCAGAAACACAGTCTTGTGAGCTTACAAAGGTGGGAAAAAGTCGCAACCATGCGAACAGTCAGGTGGTTTTTCTATCTTGCCTTGATATTTTAAGATGTAAACGTTGAGAATTTTGGTTTCACAGTTCGATGGACATCCAACGATCGTACAAAATCGTACAAGGGGAAATCCCTCGCTTAGGAAACGAAATCTTGTTGCAGTGCCCATATCTTGTGGAAAGATTGGACCCAGAAAGGAAAATGGAAAGAGTTAGGTAGTTGCAACCCATACCAGATTGCTTGTAGTGATTGTGCCTCCTTGGAGGTAATTACATCAGTGAAGGGAAAAATCGATTGATACAAAAAGCTTATGGGTCCATAGTAGGTTGGGTGATTCAACAGCATTATTTTCATGAATAAAACGCAGGCTGTTTCAAATGATAAATAAAAATACCTAAATCAAATGTGTTCCGTTTGATCATTGGTATGCCACATGAATGATAGATTTCGTTGACTTACCTGAAGTGGGAGAAGGATAGGTTAAAGCAATATCCTTGATTCGAACCACGAAGGCCACCGAGTCCTCCTGGCCATATGTAGGACGAATCTGTGTACTAGGGGCGGGTAAATAAAACCGGTAAGGCAACTGTTCCATCCCAGGTTGACAAACAGCTTCGGCTAAGTGACTGCGCCATTCGGCTCCTGCGTGACGGGTTTCAGTGTAGTCCATAGTAGTCAAATAACCGCCAACCTGCTCAAGATCGACACGACTTGAGCTCGAGATTTGGGTGAATAGGGCTGTAAGGAAAATTGAAAACGGATCGATTACAGTAATTTTGAGCAATTTGACTAGTAAACACATTGCGATTGAGTCGATCGGTCTTGGAGAAAAGTGTGCAAACGAGATTGGCAATCAGTAGGCCTACGGGATTTGGAGTTGTATACAATTCGTGCAACAATAATAATTCGATCAAAAGCAGTATCTTAAGGGTATTATTACGAATGAGATATTAACTGCAATGTAGAAAGCATCCGTTCGTCAGACGCTGCGGAATGTTCTAGAGGGCACTGAGAGGATCTTGAAATCAGAAGCGGAGAAACATTCAGTGAAACGACAATGAAGAGGGTGCAGGTCTTGTAAAATATAACGCTGTTTTGAGTAAGAGTATCCATGAAAAGATTGGATTTCAGTAGAAGATACATGAAGTACACTCGTGTGTAGCAGTCTGGGGATTTCCCCGGTATGCCTGAGTACGTTGTGTGAAATGCTAAATAGAATCACTGTTTCACTGTACACTTAGGTGATTGGTGCGGACTGTTGAACTGTGTTGAGCTTGATTGTTTGAATCAACGCCTTTTGCATAGGCGTCTAGGCTAGTCGGCAAGATGCGACCACATTGGTTGGTGCCGACTGCGAGCTGAGTTCTGTAACATCTCGAGTCAAACTCAAGACGGGTCACGTTGCCTTCAGCTTGGAAAGCGAGACAGACCAAAGGTACCCAGTTTCGTAGTCAGTCAGTTCATTTCCGGCTTCCAAATTAACCTTTGCCTACTTCCAGCTTTCCGCTACTTTACACCTGGCAAGCAAAACAAGGCCCTCCACGGCAAGCGATGACCGAGCATATGTAACAGATGCCCAAGCCAAAGCAACTTATTCCGTGCTATCTGTTATTCTAAGGAAGTAGGTTAATTAACATCGCCTAGTGCTTGCCTAGGCACATCATAGCTGCAGACATCCTGGTGCCATCCGACACCAACAATGCTTCGCAGGCAGCAGATGATCAAAGATTTGAAGGCGTCTTAGATCCTCAGAGCGAAGGAGCCGTCTCAATACTACAATGTACCACGGCCTTAACTGTGGCGCTGTAAACGCGGCCTTTCCGACCAAGTGAAACCCATTTCTGATGCCAAAGATATCGCGGATTCAAGAAGACAGTTCCAGCTACTGCAATAGGTGAACTGGCTTCATTGGTTGGGCGCTCATCGTTGCCGACACAGGTGACACGGGAAATGAATTGATCAACTACCTCGGGTTCGCCGCTATCAAGGGTCAAGCGATCATCAAATGGCTGGTCATAAAGACCTGATTCGCAAGGTAGCCGGACGATTAACAGAGACCGTTGACATCCGGGTAGCTCATTCGCCTTCTTTGTGTTCAGTAGCAGTCCACAGAGAAGCCGGTGGCCAACAAGGTTGTTCATCCGCCCTCCGTTAGGTACTCACTTCTGGTTACAGAAGTGAGTCTTCAGTGACCCCATAGCCGGTCACATTGGCTTTGACACAGCGCCGTACGAGCTCATGTGGTATTTGATGGAGAACCAGGTGACCAGCCCAGAACTCCCCACTCTATGAGACGCTGCCGCTGGTTATCCGAGACTAGTTATTCATCTTGCCTGCAAGGCAAACTAAACTTATTCGCAATAACCCCCACAAGGAAGACATTCCCCAATCCGGAATCTGGAGACGCGCCCGATAGCGTATAGCTCTGAAATACTTAGACAAATAGACAAATTACAAGCAGTGTTTTCGAGAGGTTTTTTTGTTTTGATGTAAATTAAGAATGCCTTCGATGTCATCAAACAGAGTAAACCCTATGTATGGGCCGATAGCAGCAAAATTGTCTAAAGTTCGATACGGGCATTATCAGTAACTTCATGACCGCCAAACGAGTGGATTTGCATGAACAGGAAACGGTGCAGCAATAAGAAAAGTGAATTCTCATCTAAGAAATGCAAGTTCATATGGCATCGGAGCAGAATTGCACCAAATTCACTGATGTCAGACGACACAACGCCATCCACCTGCCTTAAGCTCCTTGAATTTTTGCCGAACAGGTGCATTATGCTGATGCAAAAGTCGGTAGACTAGGAGGGCTAATATTAAAATCCGTTGTTTTGAATGAATCCAAAATTTATCTATATAAAACTCGTATTCGTCCCCTACTAGAACATTGCACATTAGTATACTCCAACCTGGGAAAAAGTGACAGAACTGCAATACGCAGCGCTTCTGTACGAAGTGCCTAAGGAGAAACTCTGGTAATCTTACAATGACCGCTGCTGTGAGATGAATATCGACTATCTGTGATGAGTTATAAGATCTGCTGCCGGAACTGCGATAAATACTACGTGGGACAGACTGGGAGAACGCTTGGCACAGAGCTACACGAACACAGCCTAGCCATACGTCGCCACGATCAGAACTCCCTGATGTCAGTGCATATGGATGCTGAGAACCATCAATTCGACATAGAGCATGTCAGTATCCTCGGAAGGGCTAAAAGCCGGCAAGCACGTGAGTTCATTGAAGCCTGGCATTCAAAGCAGAACTCGATCAATTAGCACTTGGACACTGAAATCGCTTACGAGGCACTGATGATGTTGCCTAGTCAGGCAACGAAACGTCTGCACAATAATCACTCAGCTCGGAGAACCGCTCAAAATCCGCATCCACACCCCGAGCTAAGGATATTCTCATTTATTTCAAATCAATCTGACCCTTATGTGATATAATCCACATACGCGTCTTTACCTCAGACATCGAGGTGGTACTTCAACCTTCCATTGAGTACACTATAAAGAGTAGACGCAACACGTTACCGATTGAAAAGATACGAAATGGCTTGCGCTCAAATTTACTTCTTAACCGCTACGTAATTATGTGGAACAAGCTACCAGAAAATTTTGAGAATGTGCTCTGGTAAGCAAAGAATTGATACAGACATGCCCAACGTAGACACCAGTATCATCACATTATATGAGGAAAGATCGAGTGCCATATAGTGAATAAAAATATTCGCTGATTTAAAAGTTAATCCGTCACTGCCACATCAACTTTATGTATGATAGAAATTCTTTCCGTATTTCTAACTCACCTTTTTGTCCGGAGGTATTAGCATACAAACTACAAAGTGACTCCTAAGAGTCGTGGATATCAGTTCCGTAATACCTCGGCTATACCGAATGGTTGAATCAAGGAAGTGTCGACTCAGAATCTTTTTCCTATAAATAACTTGAACAGAAACTATTCTTGACAATCCACTTGCAAAATTTGTTCGGATAAACCACATGATCCGTGTCTGTTACCATCGAGATATGAACTACTCTTTTGTTGTTGCCTAGTCAGGCAACGAAACGTCTGCACAATAATCACTCAGCTCGGAGAACCGCTCAAAATCCGCATCCACACCCCGAGCTACGGATATTCTCACTTATTTCAAACTACTCTTTTATTTTCGTTTACTTTAGTTCGCGTTTTTATATTCATTCAGTAGTCAAATACTTATTCTCCTCACCCGAAAGCGACAGCCCAGAAACAGGTAGCAAATCCCATTAATAAGATATGGCAATTTCAGTATTTTTAAAAGCATGCAACTGATGGATGAAACCGAAAATTCTTCTCAGTACTGTCTTGCATATTGTTAATTCGAGTATCTGTCTAGTTCGTTAATTCCGCTGTATAATTTGAGCGAAAAAGCAGTCTCTTATCCATTAACAGTACTAATACTGCCCTTCTACCTCACCAAATTTTAAATTCGTTTTTACTTCATTGTTAGTCACGACTGCGTCGATGTGCAATGGTGACGGATTGAAGCTTCCAAGTTAATAATTATACCCATTAAAAGTGCACTGCCAGACTAACTGGCGAGAGAAGCATTAGCTGAATCAAAAAAGATTGATGGTACAGGTTAGATGGCCTGAGTGTCCATAATATATACCCATGAAAACGGTCTTAAATATGATTAAACTAGGTGATGGATAATCTGATTTAAAGCCGAACCGGCACATGGTCAGATGAGGTACAGAAGTGCGGGTGAAGCCCTTCGAAGGACTACTCCGCTTGGGAGTAGGTCCCACAGAGACTGGTCCATGGATGGCCGTATCATTTCGCTTGAACAAGTGGATTCAGCTACTATTATATTGGCAACCCGGTAGTCAATCCTCCAAAACCCTTTACCCGATCAATTGGCCTCGCGCCCCTCCCCCCAAATAGTTTGAGAACTTATCTGGAAAACTCAAAAAATAGGTTCCATGCGATCCAGTTGCACATATTGATCAAATCATTCAGTTGGACTGTGCCTCGTACTGTCGAGGAATATACCGTTAGTAATAATAACTTATATCCGCCCATGTAAGAGCATGGCATTACTTGAAGATATATGAAAAATGAGCAATAATTTATAACGGGTAAAAAAAGGTGCTTGACACGTCCCGTAGGGTGGTTAGGGTGAGAAAAGAGAGATCAAGGGATAATAGAATCGTGGGTTCAGGCGGTTACAGATTTAACTGCACTGCCGTATAAAGGGAGTTTGAAATTAGAATGTGCGCACACAAAGCAATAAGGGGAGTGATTATTGATCATGTAATAAGCGGGGAAAAAATAAAAAATAAAGCAAGGACAACGTCTACTCGTGTGCAGCTATCTCGGGTCGACGGGATACAGAAATCCAGTTTCTATAGTAGTAGCGTTTACCGAATTGTGTGGAAGAGGTTTGGAATAACTCATACTCGAGTAGGGTTATGGCACTGTCTGTTGTGCTTTAGTGCCAGCATCTGGTGGTCATGGATTATAGCACATAGTGTAAATGTGACAGAGTATCGTCAAGGCGTTTTTTGAAAAGGGATAAGGTTTGTTCATTAATTACATGTTCCGGGAGGGCGTTCCAAGGTTGTGACACTCAACTGGGAGAAAAAGTTTCGCTGACACTTTAGTCGGTTCTACTGCGTGACCAGCTTAAACTGATGATCTCTTAACGGGGTGTTTTGACTGAGTATTAGAAGGGAATGGCATGCGTGGTT